CCCCCCCCCCCCCCCCATGATTTTTTAAAGAGATTTAAAAATGTAATTTTACAATTTTAAAAAATAGAAAATTATTACTTAGATTCTCGTAAAAATGAAATAAAATTGTTGCGTAAAGAAAAATAAAGATGTATATAATATCTATTTTGATAGGAGATATTTGGAAAATAAATAAATAAATAAAATAAACAGGACGAAGGGGAGAATCTGGATACCGAAGGCGTGAAAGATACGTTTGGAACATTCCACAGAGGCGTGGGGACCACAAGTAACCACAGTTTTATTTATTTATTTAATTTTATTATTTAAAATTAGAAATTAGAAATTAGAATAGTGAGTTGGTTTAAGTCCAACCCAACCGTCTCTCAGTATTCCCGTAAAACGCGGCAAATGGATAAACTCGACCACATTTTCATTTTTTCAAAAAAAAAAAAAAAGAAAAAGATAATAATAAAAGTGGGCCCCGCCACTACTTTCTCACGTGGACTACACGTGTTCACTTGTGGTCCATTTTACCCTAAACCCTTCGATGTGGACCCCCCTCCTCTCACTCCGTCCCTCCCGATTCATATCGTTTTTCCATTTCCATGGCGTGTTGTTATAGGGTAGGGCCCTAGGTGACTAGAGTGGGGGTAAGTGGGACCCGCTTGGTTAGGTCTACGAGGTATGTGGGGCCACATCCTCTAGGCATGTTACACGTGGCAAAAGTCTCCGTACAGGGTGTGTGGGACGAGGAAAATGGCAGCAGCCAAAAGCCAGCCAGGAGCCAGTAGGAAAAAAAAAAAAAAAAACGTAATTAAACTCCCCAGACACACAATTTTTATTATTATTTTAAATGAAAAAAAGAAAAAAAAGAAAAAAAAAAAGAAAAGAAAAAGCCTGTTAGGGCTTATCGAACGAAGGTGCCTATAATTTCCCTGCCCCGCTGATGTTATCCTTCTGTAGCTTCCTCAAACTTCGTAAGCATAAAAAGGCATTTACTTCCATTTATTTACCAAACTGCCACTCTCCATTTCTATCCCTATAATTTTATTAAACGCCCATCTCAAAACACAATATATTATAATTTCAACAATTTTCTTTATTTTAAATATAAATGTTATAAATTATTAACTTAAAACTATTTTATAAAAAAATAATTTATTTTGTTGCACAGAGCCTTGCATTTTCCAGTTGTCTTCGTAAATACCACAACTCATAGATGCCACTTCTAAATTCTTACCCTTCTTATCCTCATGTTATTTTACTCAATTACCCTCCTCTTTTCATTTCAATAATATCCCCAAATCTCATTGCTATCCAGCTATTATGACTAAGCTCGTATCATAGCTGCCTAGGTGGAAACTCGTAATCTCGAGAAACATCATAGATGTATAAGTGAAGAATATTATCTATTATTATTACGAACTATATTAGAGAAAAAAAATGTGAGTCTTAAAAATGTAGCCATAGTGATTTAATTATGGAACATTAAAAAGTAGGTTATGGTGTGGTTCACCATGCAGACGTGGCTAATATGGAACAAATGTCTGTAATCATTTCTACATTTCAATCTTTAAATTAATTATATTATTTTTAAAATTTACAAAAAAAAAAAGAGAGTAGATAATTAGTTAATTATAATGTCAATACCTTTACAATATAAATATATATTTAACTTTTTCTAAATGGGACAATGCCACGTATTCATGATTCCTTACCATCTAATATTTTATATATTTAATTTTTTTTTTATGGTATTACTTAAAAGCTTAAGTACATTATATTGTCTCATTTATTAGAATTTTCTTGATGTCCAATGGAATCGCTTCAAATAAAAGATTATTTATAACAATTATTATATTCATTTTATTTTTTCCAATCAATTATCTGTGACAAAAATTAAAATTTAATGATTTCGAATATTAGATTGAAAAAGATTAATATTTTGTTTTAAAAAATATAATTAATTTTTTTAAAAAGTTATTTTTATTATTAAAACTTATTTTTTTAAGAAAAAGTTTAACGGTATTATTACATTTTTAAAAGTTAAATAATATTTTTAAGATAAAAGTGAGATTTAAAGGTGTGTGAAATATTGATATAATAGTTATTATTATTTTTTTATTGGGGAAAGTAAAGCAGCTAAGTGGTGGCCTAACACAAGCTTATCAAGTTTGACCTAAATATCAGTTATTATTATATGGGTTTTTATTAAAACTAAAAATAATTAAAAAGGTTGTGGAAATATACTATTGGAAGATAATGTTTTTTTAAATAATAATTTAACACCTACGCGGCTCCCATTGGCCCCTACCACCAAAAAAAAAAATTAAAAATTAAAAATTAAAAATTAAAAAATTAAAAAAGAAAAAGAAATAGGAAGACCCGCCGCCCACTCACATTTCTCATTTTCCCATTTACTTTTTTATTTTTATTTTTAGCGTATATAGTTAAATAAAAGAAATTAAAATTAATTTTAAAAAAATAATAATATTGTGAATATTTTCAGGAAATTAATTATAATTTTGAGAGAGAAATGGAAATAATAAGTATTCATTAATGAGGGCAATAAAAAATGAGAATGCGTTTCATACCTTTTAAAGTTTGAAATTCTTTTTTTTTTTTTAATTAAAAAAAAGTGGATATTATCTTATGGAAAAGGAATAAGATAATAATGGAGAAAAAGGGTGGGGGAGGGGTAATAGGGTAATTTGGGGAGGAGAGTTGAAAATCTTCGCAATCCAATCCGATTGCTCCCACTCGGAAACCAAACCACGAGGAAAAGGAGAGATGGTCAAAAAAATAATAACAATTTCTCTTTCGGATAAACTGTATTTATACCATTTTCTTCTTCCTAAATCCGGCCTTTTCTTTTCATTTTCTTCTTCTTCTTCTCTCTTTTGATCCATCAACCACCGGCACGCTCACTGTTTCTTCCTTCAATTTTTTCGCTCCGGGACGTCTTTATCGCCGTCGTCGCTGTTGTTGTCTACCTTCTTCTGCCGATCGCTTCGACTGTGAGTTTTTTTGTCTCTGTTTTAGTCTTCCGATCTGTGGATGGATTTTGGTTAAGTCGGTGTTCCGACTCTGTTTTACACCTCTGGTTCTTCGGGAACGGAATTCGATTTATCTTTTTTGATGTTTTTATTTGTTTGTGTGTGGGAGTTTTTAATTGTTACTGCCAGATGGGGGCTTGTACTTTATTTGGCACGACGTTATTATTTTGGCGCAGTTCAGATGAGTTTTCTTTTATCTTTATTCATGGCTGCGACTTAAAAATAGGATACGTACAAATTTCATTACCTTTTACTTTTCGTTCTTTCCAAGTCATTCGTGGTTTCTCGGCAACAAACGGGAGTTGGAAGCGTTCAACGCGGTCGTTGAACTCTGATTCTTTTTTTTTTTTTTTTTTTTATTTTTAATTTTTAATTTTCT